TTAATACCAAAAAATTGTAGAAACTATTAGGTATGGAAAAATAACAGATTTTGATACACTAAAATGATATGATGAACTGATTCTATAGATTCTAAGTATCGATCTAGACAACTATATTTAATTAATAATAACTAGTGTAAAGACTTAAACATTTGGTAATAATAAAAAAAAACACAAAATTGGTAACTATATGCTACCTATGTTAGGATGAATACAGTTAATAATTTTAGCAGAGAAAGGTACAAACTAAGTAATAGTTGCTTAATACGAAATGTAGAGTTTATTATGCTCTAAATAAAATATTAATTAAGCTTTAAAAATTTATACATTAAAATTTTTCATTATATATTAAGTGAAAAATCATTTAGAAACTTTTGGGTACTCTCTGTAGATCATGATATCAGAGCTTGAATTGTTGAAATAGTGCTTTAGTGAACTTAAAGCTAAGAATACCAAGCTTAAGGTTAAGAATACAGAGCTAAGAAGGAAATACTAAGATCTATGATTTTAGAATTAAGCTTTTAGTATCTGATGCTAAAATAATTGAATTTAAGTGCAGGAATGCTGAGATTCTAAGAATGAATGGGAAATATAATAAGAGGCATGATGTCAAGATAAAGAAATTAGAGCTGAAAAATGCTAAGCTTAAAACTAGACTCATAATAATAGAACAAAATGACCTAAAGGAAAATAATTTTTCTAATAACAGGTATATCTAACTTTAATTTAAGTGTAAACTACTATGAAAAATCATTATAAGAGAAAGAGATAGATAATTTCTTAGATGATTAGAGAATTATTTTTCTGAGAAAAAAGCGAATGAAGTTAAGCCGATTAATAAAAATACTTCTAATGATCTTGATAAAATTATCATAAAAGTTTTAGAGCATAAGATATATTTTGATGATTCTACATCTCAATCAGTGACAAATCCTATCATCTCTTGGTAACTGCCTAAAATATTCACATTGAATAGTTATTACTTTGTTTCTTTATTTTGAATTATATAAGTAATTTAGATAATAGCATTGTGCAGTAATACATCATCACTATACTCTGCAGTATTAGACATATGATTTAACTACATTTTGTGTTTTTTACACAGTGCTCTTATTTTTAGATCTAGATGTGTTATTTTTATAATAAAACTAGTATGTAAAATTCACATGCACAATATGCACATGTGCATATTAAATTTTTTTTTGCACTATTACACAATATAAAATGTGCACAAATAATTATAATCAGACCTCTCTAAATGCATCCTTCAGGACTGAGTAAAAGAGTGCATTTAGAAAGGGTATATATTAATAGAAAATATACATTTTAACAAATTTTTATAATATAATAAATATAATTTTATTTTTATTTACGTATATCAGAGATCTTATATTAGTATAATAAATAAAATTAGTTAGATCTACCTAAAAAGAAATATTAAATATAAAAAATATATATATTTTTTTCATAGACTTATCTTTGAATAATCTAAGCCTTAAAGAATCTGATAGCTATAAGTAGGTAAGTGATTTAATTATTAGTATAATTGATCGATTAAAATAAAATTAATATTAAAATTATTTTATAGATTTACCTCTGAATGATCCATGTCTTGAAGAATATAGTAACTACAAGTAGATAAGTGATTTAATTTGTTTAATTGATTGATTAAAAAAAAAATAATAAAAAAATAGAATATATTTTTTTTTAGGACTTACCTCTGAATGATCTAATACTTAAAAAATCCAGTAATTACAAGAAAGTAAGTAATTTAATTGTTTATTTGATTGATAAAAAAAAAATAAATAAATATAAAAAAAATATATTTTTTTTTATAGAACTTATCTCTGAATGATCAATACTTGAAGAATTTAGTAGTTACAAAAGGTAAGTAATTTTAGTTATTAGTTAAATTGATTGATTTAAAAAATAAATATTAAAAAATTTTTTTTTCACATAATTCACCTCCAAATGGTCCAATGGTTAAAGAAATCCAGAATCATTAAGTTAAGCAAGATTATAGATAATGTGAATGATACTAAAGAGTTAAGACTGAAAAAAAAACTACATGTATATTTTTTTAATTACTAAATAATCTTTTAAAGGGTTTATTGTTATTCTATTTTTTTTTTCTTTTTAACTATTTAGTATTGATAATATGTATGCTTCATGTTGTATTTCAAATAAATTAATAAAAATATTGAAATATTTAGTCTTTTTAGAAAAGTTGTGATTTATGTTTAAGGAATTTTATGATCTTTTCAGAAAGTTAACCTTATCATGTATCTTAGACAAATTTTATTCACAAGAGCTCATGAGAATTATTGAAAATAAAGCTCACTTTAAAACATTTCTTCATTAAACAAAATAAATCTAAACCTTATGATGTCAATATTATTTAATTCTTTAACAAATAAATAAGCATTTGAACTATCAATAATTAAAAAAACTGATGCGCGTCTTTTTAAATTGACATTAAAGTTTTTTTTTCACATCTTAGCATTTGACATTATTGTTTTAACAAAATTCTATTATTTTCCTTCTATCGATACTTACCTGGTCTTATATCACAAATTATATAATGACAAATATTTAGCAAATATATTTAATATTTTACTGTTATTGTATTAATTGATCATATTTTTGATTTAGATGTCATATTTTCAAGATTCAATTTTTTTTGTTTTATGATAAAAAACATAGATCAATTAAAGTTTCCTTTTATGGTAAATCATAATAAAAAGTTCGCAAATTTATAATAAACATTTGCCTCAAAAAAAGATTGAAAAATAAAGCATTTTGCAAATATTAGATAAATGCATATTATTAAAAAAAAGATCATGAGGGTAAAATCCTAAATGTGTAATCAGATTAATTAATTATGATCTATGTAATGTATATATATATTGATTTCTGTTTGAAGAAATAACTTTTACGTAAATAATTATTTAAAAAAAATCACTACTAATTAAACATTACTTGGATTGTGCATACCGTATTCTTCCGAAAATAAGCAACACTTTTTTGTTATAGTGTTGCTTATTTTCAGGTAATTTAATAAAATAAAGAAATTCAATCGCGCAACCATCCAATCATGTGATTTTTGTCGATCGAATCATTCGCGATTTATCACGTAACACACAAAACAGGTTTTAAACAGGTTTTATTTTTTTTATGTGAAATGGCAAAATAAAAAAGGTAGTTAAAACTGTTAAACGTAAAACTCAAATTGTAAAACGAATACGAAATTCATACTCAGTTGAACATAAAAATGAGGTCATTGCCTACGCAAGAAACCATGGAAATAACGAAGCAGCAAGACACTTTGATATTGATCGTGGTATGGTGAGTCGGTGGGTAAATGCAAGTTTGAAATGGACGAGTGAAACTAAGGGGAAAAGCAAGCGGGTTGGCTCCGGTAGAAAAGCCTTATTTCCAGAAGCAGAAAAAATTTTATATTTTTTGGATGAACACTAATTTCATAATATTTTTTTTTATTGTAATAATAAAATAAACAATTGAATGCATTTATAATATGTTTATAAAGCTAAATTATTTATTTATTTAAAAAAAATTTTATTAAAAAAAAAAAAAAATTCAATTTTTCCGAAGTGTTGCTTATTTTCGGAACCTATATAAAACAGGTGTTGCTTATTTTCGGGGGTTGCTTATTTTCGGAAGAATACGGTATATGTTTTAATTGATATAATGGTTATATAATTATCACAATTTTAAAAATTACTATTTTTTATATATCATTATATATAGGAAAGGAATTACAGGTAAAATGATAGAATTTGCAGTAAAAAAATATAATTCACATAGGAGAACTTCTGATAATATTTATAATAAGCTTGTTTTAAATATTAATAACAATCTTAATTTATATTAAAATTCAACTTTTTGACTTTTTGTTAATATATGAAAAGTTTGCTAGAAAAATGGGACTTTGGAAATTTTTTGACCAAAATTAAGATCTTATTACATTTTAATCTAATAACATTAAAAACTAAAATGCAATAAAAAACAAATTTTGTTAAAAAATTTCCAGAGCCATATAAGTCATATATCATGTGACTTGTTGAGCTCTAGACCTTAACCGAGGGGGTGTAGACCCTTATCGTCCAACCCCATGTATAAATAAATATTTTTAAAGTGTATATCACGTGACATACACAGTTGCGGTTTAGGATAAAGGTCTACACCCCCTCCTAGGTTAAGGATGCCCCTCTAGATCATGATTGGCTTGTTATATCACATGATAAATTACATAAGCAAATGGATTTGAGACTTTTTTTTTATTTTATGAATTGATTTCTTTTTTGCAAGTAGATCTCAATTTTTTTTTATTAAGTCAAAATCTAATCATAAAATCTAATTTTATTTAAAATTTTTAGAACCAAGCTCTTCATTAATTTTATTTGCGACACTTTCCTAAAATACGTTTCTATTCCTTTCCAAGTTATGATATTCTTCATTCCTATTTCTATAAGGATACAAGTTTGAGCATCGGTCCAGTCGACCTAATCGAAAGGCTATTCACCCCGAAAAAAATTATTATTTGGATGGCGGAATATGAGATGTTTTTATAAGCATTTACCTACACATCAACCCGAGTACAACACTACATTATCCATACATTTGCATTCGAAATTTACTATATTTTAATAGTGTTATTTTTTTCAACCATACATGCAAATGTCTTGTAACAATCACTAGGAGTTCTTGAACTGCTCTCCAAGCATACTTTAACTCGAGCTGTTTTTCAGAGCCTTTCAATCTCCGCGATCATCCTCATGCAATACTTCTGGGAAAAGCGAGTGTTTATACGTCGCACAAACATGTCAGGTGATTAGCAAAGTATTATTACACGTGATTTATCAAGTAACTCAATTTCATTTATGTAACGAAACCTGTTATATATTATTGCTTTATTTAATGAAATAGATGTTGCCAGAAACTAAAAACCAATACATTATTACATAGTAAACCTGTTCTATTTAAGCGAAAGCTTTTCTGTAGTCCTCAAGATCAAATGCGGTTGAGGGTGTTCCAGTGTCACGTTCGGTAATCCGGTTAATCCTGGTGACCGAAGTGACGACGTCTGGAACTCCCACCTGATTTATTGCCCTTTATCAAATAAAAAGGAAGATTAAGTTGACATTAAAGAATCTGAAAAACATAGATCAGTCTTCATTCATACCATGGTATGTTTACACTAATTTGATTGATCCATACTCCAATGGCGTTACCATTTGGAAATGTAAATACAACGTTGTTATAATTCGTCGCACCATTTGCGGTAAGATTTGCAATAATTGCAGCCAAGTTTTGGCCTGCAACACCATTTCGTAATCCTGGAGCAGTGCCAATATCATTGAATCCTGCTGGATTCCAATTAAATACAAGAGCTGGCATGTTTTCGTATCCTTTCAAAGCTCGGAGAACCAAAGTAGCTGTGTTGTGATTATTAAGGAAGGGAGGGAGGTTTGCAAGTGCTAAAAAAGAATATTGATCAATATATATTGACATGATCATGCACAGAATTGCTAAATTTTACATACTTGTGCCGCTTTTTTTTGCTAATTTTTCAATCTTCTTTTCTTGAACTTGTATGTATATAATGAATAGTTATTGAAAAGCTCAAAATTTTACTGATTTGATGAAAAGCATACCTTTGTCACGAATATATCTGAACGGGTTTGCCATGCTTGCGAAAAACGGAAAGAAATTAAAGATTTAAATAATATTTTATCAAAGTATTTTATCAAAGTAAAGAATATTATTTTATCATAAAAATTGATTTATCATTAAATTGATGTTGCTTTTTGTGTGACATACAGTTTATATAGGCTGTGGTTTGATTTGCAAATGGCACACAGTATACGGTCTGCTCCGACCAGTTGAAATACTTGATATACTTTTTCGCGTTGATTTTTTTAGCTTGTATATGGATTTTAACTATATCAATGATATCAAAAAAAATTTTTATTGATAAAAATAAATTCAAACGATCCTATTTTATTTTATTTTATTTTTTTAAAAATGATATTCGTTTATCAAATAGAATCCAATAAACGGAAAAGACTTTGAAAAATGTACAATCGGAATTGCATTTTCATTTTAGAATTAATATTAGTGACTATAATAATTCAAGTAAAGATCTTGCAAATGAAATAGTTGAATTTATAGAAAATGCTGACGAATATATTTGGATTTACAATCAACAATATGAATACTTTATCAAAAAAATCACGTAAGAACTCTGATCCATCAAAAACAACAAGACATTTTATCAATGGGAAGATTTGAATGTGATGACTCACTTCGGTTATGTCACCTGAGCAAAATGATCGACTTTATTAAATTATGTCACAAATGCAACCAGTGGCCAATTGAATAATTGGACAATTGGACTTGGTCCAATTTCAACTAATTAATAAAATTAGTTTATTAAGTTTTATTATATTATTTAATTTATTAAATATTAAATAAGATGTATATATTATTATTAATATAAAATATTAAATCTTTTATTTATTAATTTTCATTTACAATAAAATTTTCAAAATAATTTGATAATTCTAATTTTCAATAAATTATATGTATTAATAGAATCTATTATTTCATCATCTTGATCTTGTAAATCATTTTCAATCATTTTCTATTTAATGTGATACCATATTTTTCTAATCATTAATCAAAGTGAATGGTTATGTATATATATTATTAAATCTTTATTATTAATTTCATCATTAGTATTTATATTTCATTATCAGAAAGAATAAAAGTTCTATTATTTTCAATATTAATTTCTATTCAGAAATAATAGAAAGATAATTTATATTTGATTTATATTTTTTTATATAAAATTCTAGTTCTTAAAATTATTGTTATTTTTGCATATTAGCATGAATTTGTGTTAAGTCCAATATCTTTCTGTCTAAATATTAAATATAATATAATTAATTTATAATTAAAATATATAATATAAATAATATACCTTTAAACAATTTCTTCTTTTTGAAATAATATCATCCCATTATTGGAAATATTTTTAATGATACTATTAATACAGTAATTAAAAAATCTTGTTAAGCAATTCTATATAATTCTTTTGAATATTTTTATAAAATTCTAATAATTTAAAATATTATTTTAAATTGTTTAAAAATAAATTTAGTATAAGGATATTTTTTTGATCAATATTCTTCAAATTCAGCTAATAAACTTTTTAATTTTTCTGAAATCATATATAATAATAATATAAAATTCATTTTGCTAAATGTGAAAATTATAAGTTTAAAATTACAGGTGAAATTTTAAGTCATGATAAAATAAATGTAATAAAATATTAATAATAAAAGAAGTTGTTTCTATTTTTCTATCATTGTTTAAGACTTACAATAAGTTTAAGAGTTAATTTTTTATTTAATAAATATTTTAATTATATTATTATATCTATGAAACTTTATTATATAATTGTAAATTATAATGTTAAATATTATTAAATATAGTATAGTATAAAATTAAAAGAATTTCAATTTATTTAATTTGATTTTACTAATCATTACTAAAAATACAATTCAAAATTTTAGTATAACGTAAAACCTTTATAATAGGAATTTTATTATAGTAAAAATAGAACAAATTTAAAATATAATAAAAATTTTAACCTACTGCATCAGTTAGAAGTTGAATTAGTATTAGAGTAGCTTACTTGAATAGTGAGTATTCTATCACTATTACTATACTACTAATATATAAGTATTACATATATATATTTATAGAGACTATTTTATATTAGAATGATCCCTTAAGAGTATAAAATCAGTTGCACATACAGAATAGGAAGAATGCGTATTTAGAGAGAGTCAACTATATAATACTATCAGATCTCTATACAGTTACACTCTATATAGTTATACCTTTATATAAGAACTTATTTTTGCAAAATGAACTTTAAGCTTATTAATTTACCTCTATATAATCACAAATTAGTTATAGTTATTATCACTATATGATTTAATACTACAAATCATTTTTATAGTAATTAAACCTCTTTATAATCATAATTTTCTGATTGGTTTATATTGAAAAAATCTAATTGGCTGGTAATTTACAGTAATATAAAATGTACACTTAAAAATATAACACTGAAAAATAGAACAACATAGTAATAAGATTTTTATTACTCTGATAATTTTAACAAAAGTTTCAGCATTTTTTCTATAACAGTACTTTTTATTAATATAAATTTTATGCAAATAATATTTATATACAATATAATACAATTTTTTTTATGCCTTTCTAGTTCCCTTCCTTTTTAACATCTTATTTTATTAAATGAGTTTGTAAATGCTTCCCGACTGATTTAGATAACTTTAACTAATTTAAGTAATATTCTGCTGTTAACATGCAATCTTTTCAGATTACAATTATTAGACACAGTGTCAGAAGGTTGACTCTTTTATAGTCTATATAATAATTCTAATTAGTTTACAAGATTCTTAGCTAATTTGCTACCAGTTTATCAAGTTAATTCAGTTTATTAGACGTGAACAGCTTCAATCACAAGTTAAGAGTCGTCACAATGAGTTCAAAAAGAGTTTTTAGATAAGAAATAAGAAATACTTTATTGAAGTAAAAGAAAATATTACGATAATAATATATGAACGAAATAAGAAATGAAAATAAAAAACAAAGATATATGAAATGAAGAGTAGCATTATGCTATCTTTTACAAGTGAAAGAGGTTCTATATAGCCATCTGTACTGTCTTTTTTAATTGACAAAGAGGTTGTATTTATATCTATTTTATTACATATTTTGATATATCTAATATATTAATTATGTTAACTATATTAACTATATTAACTATATCTACTAAATTAACTATGTTAGACATGTTAAATATGTTTGACATTATCGATATTTATACTTCATCACACAATTATAGATCCATGATCATTAAGATTGACACCTAGTTACACTGTTATAAGTATTAGTCTTAAACATGAAATTTGTGAGTAGGCAAAAAAATAATAATAAAAAACATCATGAAATTGCAAAATATTTTAATGAAAAAACCTGACTTTAAATATTGATTGTAATACCATAATAAAGATATAACAAATAGTGAAAAATGAATAGAAATCGAAGGTTTTAAAGAAATCTTCAGACATAGAAGAGTTAATTTCTATTTTTTAACAATGCTATAAACTTGTGAGTAGAAAATATAATAGCAGGTAATGTCATTTTAACAGATTTATTAATAAAGAAAAAGGTAAAATTTTTGCTAATGCATTTAATATACAAGAAGATGAGTTAGTTTTTCTAATAGTTGATTAGATAGATTTAAAAAAAAGAATAATATTTATTAACATCGCAAATATGAGAAATTAGAAAGCGTATTGATAACATCTCTTTCATAAGAGAGAATTAAACTCTGTCAATTATTAAGCCAATATTTCCTAGACCAAATATATTATATTGATGAAACAGGTTTTTATTATAGAATGTCTTTGAATCAGACACTTTCTATTAAACCAATTCTTAGTCAAAAAAGAACAAAACACGAATTACTATACTTTTAAGTATAAATGCTACAAGAACTGACAAACTTAAATCATAGGTAATTGATACATTAAAATGTCTAAGACCTTTTTTACATATTAATTTAAACCGTCTTTTAGTTCACTACTGTGAAAATCCTAAGACATAGATGAATTTAAAATTATTTGAAGAAATACTTCTTGATATAAATAAGTATTTTAAAGCACAAAATAAAAGATTTTGCTCTTAATTGATAATGCCTCATTACACTTCAACCTAAATTATCATTTGCACTTTAGGCTTAAGTTCAAATTCAGGTTTTACTTCGAGTTCTATTTCAAGAGGATGCAGTAAGTTAAATTTAATTTTTTTTTAAATTTAAAAGTAAACTACAAAAACTTACTGAATTAGTGCTTTTTTTAAAGGAAATCAAATTTTAAGATAATTCTACTTTATTAGATACTTATTAACTTCAGCTTATACATGTTGAAGTGATCTTTTTACCACCAAATATCACAAGCCACCTTCAACCTCTCAATGCCAGAATTATTGTAAGTTTTAAAAATCATTATAAATGATATTATTATCGTTATATATTACAACTTTTTGAAGAAGTTCAAGATATCAATAAAGAAAAAATTAATATCAAAAAAGTTATTGAATAATGTAACTAAAGAAACAATCCGTAATTGTTAGAATAAAATCAGAATATTATCTTCTTCAACTAATGAAAATATAGATAATGTAATAAGGGTTCATCAAGAGACAATAGACATAGAAATAGCAAGAATCGATCAAATAATTGATGAACTTGATGACCCTTGTGCTTCTTCATTAAAAAATGCAATTGATGATTTTTTTCAAGATTTAGAAAAAATTCCAACTAAAGATCTTTTAAATGATGATAAGATCATAAATTTAATCAAGAAGTGGTAAATGATAATGAAAATAATGATTCTGAAGAGAATTTCAATGAATTGTTTACAGAATTGGATAACTTTTTTTAAACAACAAATAACGAATTTAAAACACAAGATTTAGATATTTTTAAAAAATATCAAAATATAATATAACAACTTGAATTACAAGCTAGAAAGCAAACTTCAATATCTAATTTTTTTAGCAATTAGACATTTAAAAAATGGATAAAAATAGATAATTGTATAAAATTTTTAATAAAATCAAATTTTATATGCTTTATTTTAATCTATTATACTATCAAATTAAACTACTTCTATAATCATTTCACATGATTTATAATATAAAGGTGATGATATAAAGGTTTTATTATATAATCATACCTCTATATAATTACCAAATTTGATGAAATCAACTTGATAACTATATAGGGGTCTGACTGTATTAATATCTATTACACAACATGAAGTATATAAATTGTATTTTACTTCTTATTCTTTGGTGTTGAAAACAAGGGCAGATTAATATTAGAACTAAAATTAGGATTTAAACCAACTGATTCTGAATTGGAAATATTATGAATAATCCTTACTAGGACCTTTAAATGCTCCTGGAAGATAAAAAGAATTTACTATCAAGTAGAAAATAGTTATTATAATTATAATTACACTGTGAGATACTCACTGCAAAAGTAAGTAAATATCTAGAACAACCCTCCAATAAGCCAAGTTCAGTAGGCTGTGATGGTAACTGGATCTTTCCAATTTAGGCCAACCGTAACATTGGCCCTTTTGCATCCAATTTATATAATTTGATTTCATATCCTACATAATATAAATAAGAATTAGCATATTTCATGTAGACATAATGCAAATAATATCATATTAATATATACCAATGACTTGCAACCCAAAAACATGCAATTTTGATCTTATTTCTGCTTGTCCATGTTTATAGGCGCAGGTTCGCAACTGATCTAAAAGTCGTTTTATTTTCATGACTATGCGTCGCTTGTCAAATGCCACTTTTGCAGCTGTGGCTTCTACTCGTCTTGCAACTTCACCTGTGACACATGTTGTTTTCTCTACTTCCTTGACAATAATACTCATATCAGGTCGGCGATTTGTGGAACCACGTTTTGAATCCCTATAAATATATTCATAATTCAATTAATATATGTTGAGAACAAAGTAATTATCAAATTATGTTAACAATTACCATTCAAACCAGATTCCATAATTTTCAAGAAGGATTGTGATTGTAGGTGCAACATTGTCTATAAGATGCTTCATTTCTGATTGCTTAGCATGTGCTGATAGATGCTGTGCAAAATGCCAAATACTATAATAATAATGACATCGGCATAAACTTTTGGAGCAATAACTTTAAAAAAAATCATATTAATATTCTCATTTGTCTGAACTTACAAGTGTCCATACAATCTTTGCAGTTTTGTTGTGATGACATCATCTGCTACACAATTCTGCCAATTTTGAGCAATATGCTTTCCATTGCTGTGGCTGGCATCTCCAAACATGCCTATAATAATATGTAAGTAATGAGAATTACTGTACAAGCCTAGGGAAAGAAAATAATACAACATACTTGATTATACTCCATAATTATTTTTTCTGCACATGATGAAAATGTTGAAGGCACCAAAATCTCAACATCTTGCAACAGATCGTGCCACACATCTTCTTTAACTCTAGTCTTGAATCCACTATCATCAGTCAAATCAACAATACTGGATAGGGCACTGCAGAGGAAGACATTTGACAAATTGACTATGCATGAACTATTTACTATTAGAATATTAATTCTTTCAGTTTACTCACATTCTAGACTCAACTCCTGACAGGTCAGCTTTCTTCAGCATGTCTTGTTGATATTCTTTAAGGATATAGTGAATGTTCACATCACGAACTACCCACTAAAAAAGATTTGTGAGAAATCATCAAATTTTTATTGATAAAAAGAAGCTTCACTAACCATGTTTGAAACAGGTATTATCTTCAGCTGGCCAGCAAAATTGTTACTAATACTAAAGACTTCATCCACTTCATCCTCTTCATCCACATCATCCTCTTCATCCTTATTATTATCTACAATGACTTCATATACATTTCCATTTTCTCCTGGCATTAGTTCTGAATGTGCTTAAAGTGTGGTTGGAGTTCTGACATACTATGATAAATATATGATGAGAAACTAGAAAGTATCACCTCAACAGCCAAGTGGCTAATAATGAAACTCATAGCTACCTTTTTATAAACACGCCTATGCTCTTCATCATCAATATCACTGTACATCTGTTGGTTGGGCGTTCCAATTTGATTCCGAGGTCTTTTTGTCTTTACTCTGCACTCAGTTTCTAGTGTCTTGAAATCATGCCAGTATGATAGTTCTTACGCATTATGCTTGGAATAATACAAACAAACAAAGAGTACTCACGTCCATTAGATTTGTAGTTGCCGTCTTCGAAATCGCAACCTTTGCCATATCGACATTTCTAGTGATTTCCCGACTATTGTGTCTCTAAAACAAAGTATTGGTAATTGCAAAAACAAAATAAATAACAGCTGTAATCACGTACATACAATTTCCCACTTTCGGTCAATTTCACTAAAAAAGTCAAGAACTTCTTTTCTTCGAAAAATTTCTTCGGCGTTCTTGGATAATTTAATGGCTTTTGCCTTCGCGTTTGCATACATGACAGAGGATTTGCTACTCTTCTCAAGTGTTCGTTTGAATGCATCAATGATATCATTTTTGCTATCGGACGAGAATAGTACACGACTTTCCAGATAGCGAAGACAGCTCACAGGGGACCATTCGTGAAGAGCCGTGTCATTGAGAAAGTCAGAAATATATTTTTCAAAATCCATATCTATTGCTGTTTAAAAGAAGGCGAATAAGTGGTTGCTTTCGTACGCAATGAAGACACTTTATTATAGTAGCGCTCAACAAGCTGTATACTGGAAGAGGGACCCAGGCGTAGGCACTAAAAGCCGCATTGAGCGAGTTATAGTGAGTATCCCGCAATCCTCAAATCCAAACATCGAAACGCAGGGCCGACCATACGAGCGTAGGATACAAGTCTTGTTCGGTATACTGGAAGAGGGACCCAGGCGTAAGCACTAAAAGCCGCATTGAGCGAGTTATAGTGAGTATCCCGCAATCCTCAAATCCAAACATCGAAACGCAGGGCCGACCATACGAGCGTAGGATACCGTAACACGCTACTTCTCTATTGACGATATGCAAAAAATCACTTAACTGGGTGCTTCGAAGTGCTTTTCTTTTTCCCTACGATAATTACTATGACAAGATAACATGAATATCGCGAGGAACTTGACACGATAACACGACAAACTGCCGCGTCTCCCGAAAATCCTGCAATGTGACTGGTCCTGATTGATTCGTTAAAAGTAGTGTTTAGGGATGGGAAATTAACGGTTAATTAAGATTTGGTTAATTAACCGGTTAATTAACCGTAATATAAATTTTTAAGATTTTATATAAAAAAAAATTTTTATTTATCGTTATCGCAATATTAATCGTTATCGCAATATTACTTATTAAACGGAAATTTATTATTTCAAATAGCTATATATTGATATTGTTACAATAAATTTATTACATTTGATTCAAATCCGAAAATA